GCACATTCGCAATGCAAGGCGAGTCACGGCAGTGTTCTCTCCGCACGCACAATGGTATTCCCGAGCCATCCTTGCAGCAGCCGCCGTGGCTTTTGCCGAGCCACTGAACAAAGACTGGATGTGCATCTGCGGCCTTCCCCCTTCCCCCCTTCTTTTAAATCTAGACTGAAAACAAATCTCTCTTTACAAGTGCTTTTTGTGTGTCTAGTTTGTTGTCCTGCCCCCGCACCTCCGACGGTTGGCTCCGTACGGGATCGAAAGAAGCTCAACGTACGTACGTACGGTGATCGTACGACTCATCCTGTGTTGCTGAGCAGCTGAAGCGGAGCCTTCTCTACGCAAGTGGTCTTCCATTTGCGGGTTTTAGTATATCCAGATTTTCCCGTAAACCTCCATCCAACCACTTCATGTGGACGTTAGGTACGGATTTAAGTCACCTGCAGTGGCTGCTGTGTACACGTTCTGTGGAAATAATTGGTGCCTTAATTACATGATATGAGACATCTAAATGTGAATAGTAGAACAGGTGATATTCTCTAGAGTTAAAACTCTCAGGATAGCTGAATATTGTCGAGAATAAATAAAGGGCAACAGGACTCTGGAGATGTGTTATGTATTTCAGGCATGTTTTGAATTTGTTCTCCCAAATTACCTATCATATTATCTAATTACGTCGCCATGTTTAATGCCAAATGTTACACGATGCACTTATTGAATTGGAACAAGAGACAAAACACGGAAATTAAAGAAGTGACACTGAATTCACAACCGGTTTCTCTACTCATTGTGGTAACAACAACACAGCCCAGTTGTGTGGAAGGGGGCAAGGGGAGTGATCGTTTAGGAGTTCAATCAAGCAGGCAGAATAGCCAAAAGCAGATCGTAGCGTCACACATTCTGTTGAGCATTTGTTGAAATTGTCTAACGCGTAGGCTTTCGCGACCAATATTATTCATAACAAAGGTCTTCGGGTTAAATCGCGTGAGTATAAATGTGTCGTAACCCCCACCACCCGACAGAGCCTCTAGACAGTCTGGTCCCTTCACCTGATGAAGGCCACTTGTGTTGTGGCCGAAACGTCGTGATTTTTGTTGTTTTATTTTTTACCTACGTGACTTTACCGAATAGAACCAAAGAGTATAGAGCCAGTAAGGTTTGTCACGTAAACAAAACGCGCCAATTAGTTACCACTTCAGCCCACCGGTGTGTTGGAGAGTAAATCCACAACCGGAACTAATTGGCACGTTGTTTACGTGACAAACCTTACTGGATGTCTCGGGTGGTGGAGGGTTACTACACATTAATACATACGCGATCTAACCCCCCCAAAAAACGTTATTATTTTGAATCTGTGTTTAACATTGGCTGTGTCGTGCCCACACACCCCACCCGCTTGCCCCACTGCTTTTTGTATTCTTACTCCACCCCCACCGCTGCCACTCTTAAAGACGGCCAAGCTACTGGGCTGTAACAACACGGCCACCGAGACTGCAGCAGTGGACAGCAGTGAGATTCGCGCGGCTCCTCCGATGACTCCACCCTTTGTTTTCAGCTCAACTGGAAACTATTTTAAACTTGGCTCGTACGTACGAAGATCGACGGATGGGGATCTGCGTTTTTTTCTTTTAATCTTTTAAAGCCTTTTGACAGCGAATTCAGGTGCTACCTCGATCCCAGTCGTCAACAACAACAAAAACACCGAGTCGCTGGTCAAGCAGAAGAAGAGGGCGAACCGCGACGCCACCACTGTGGGAGGTGATGGCCCCCACAGTGATGAGCATCTTGCCATGCCTCGCAGACAGTTCCCAAACCGTTATAATAATAATAGGGGGGTTTTTGACCCTTTTTTTTCTGGCAACAAAACTGAAACCTTTTTTACGAGGATTCATGCCTGCATTAACCACAATACCTGCGGTCAAAGTGCAAACAAAAACATACTATGATAATATTTGCATTGTCCTTGAAACTGATTGGTACACACCAAATAAAGCCGTCCCTTGGTGTGGACCAATCAGTTTCAAGGACAATGCATCATATTATCATAGTATGTTTTTTGTTTGTATTTTGACCGCAGGTATTGTGGTTAATGCAGACATGAATCCTCGTAAAAAGGTTTCAGTTTTGTTGCCAGAAAAAGGGGAAAAAACCCCCATTATTACATTGTGGTACTGGCAAAGGAGGTCTAATGATGTAGTTCCCAAACCACAGTTTTACTTCAATGTAGTCTAAATTTAAAACGAATTTCTTCAAAATTTATTTTTGTGTCTAGTTTATTGTTCTTGCCCTCAGATGAGCACGGTTGGGTACGTACGGTGCGAAATAAGTTCAACATCCATAAATACGTTGGCATATGAGATGACAAAAGGGATATATATTCTTGGTTCTTTCAGTAAAGTCACGTAGAAGGGAAACAATAAAAAAATATATCAGGTGTGAAAACCATCATCATCAGGTGGTTTTCACACCTGATGATGATTGCTTGTGTTGCAGTCGAAACGTCGTGAGAATTTTATTGTTTCATATATTTTTTTTATTACTTTATTGTTTCCCTTCTACGTGACTTTACCGAAAGAACCAAGAATATGAATCCCTGCAGTCACGAAAGCTTTAAATAAAAAAGAAAGCTAGTTTGGGACTTTTGATTCGCATCACAAATGCCAAATAATTCCCGGACATGCAATGTTTGAGAAGCGTTATTCTGAAATTCTTTTGTTTATGAGAACCCATTTACGTGGTAGGCCCTCAACTAGAAATTAGAGCTCACTAAACTCGTGAGTATACTCAGGCAATGAAATGTATGCATTTGCCATCCGAGGACTGACAAAGGCTATGGGGGCATCTTATTTACAATGTGGCCTGGTGTTGGCAGGCTCATATGTTCCGCATTATGCTGTATTTGTCCGCTAATTGGTTCAACATTTGATAATTACTGGCATTAATTAGCATTTAACACAGATGCGCCAAACTGCAGGTGCAATGATGAAGCAACAGGACATTGGCGATGGCAATAAGAGAGAGTTTTAAATGGCATTCAGAGGCTTGTTGCACTCCTCGACAAAAATGCGGTAAGCAATAGATTTAAAATGCCAAGGGAAATAAGCCAAGCCTGCAATTTGCAATGTAAAGCACTGGTGTGACTGTGTACACTTGGAATTTTCTTTGTTTTTACTTAGATTGGATTCTTTTTTCGTCATTAAGAGAGACGGGGGGGGGGGGAAGCAAATGCGTCTTGAAACAATTTGGGCTCAGTTCCATTCAGCACATTTCACCGTGAACAGGAATTAATATTTAGGAGGGTGAATTCGATTTGACAAAATAATGAATACCACAAGTCAGTCTTACTTACAGCTCTGTGTTCGTCCACTGCTGGACGAATGCATCCCCATGCCTTAAACGTCATGGGGGTTTTGTTCAATCGTACTTGATTAAAGCTGGATAGTAGTGTGCGTTTCCATGATGAGGGAGATATATCCAGGACTCTTTGATATCACTCGCTACTGATGATCTTCGCCATGGTTGGGAATCAAACTCAGGTCATCGCGTTCGTAGCACCGTACGTGAAACACTGCGCCATCCGTTTAAAATATATGTTGCACATAATTGCGTTGTGGGGTGCAATACCTTAAATATGTGTGTATAGTCAGCACACAGCGTTATAAAGATTATTTAATTTCAAGGCTGACCAATACAAAGTGTAACCCCATTTGTTTTTGGTCCCATGACATAAGACCATCATATTCAAACATTCTGCCTCACTTTGCCATTCCAGTCGACCATATCTCGGTGAAAACTGCTTTTATGCGTTTTTTGTTACAGATTAGCAACACATTTTGTTGACAATTTTGCCCACCGAGGCCCACATATGGACAAAACACTGCCTTTGTGCTCACACACGAGAGTCAGACCGTGTTTTTAAAACTATGAAATAGAAAATGATGCACTTTCTGATTGCGCAGGAATCTTGTGAATTCCTAGAAAGAAAAAAAAATCAACTGAGGGCTCAGCTGTTATAAGGGGAAAATGTGAGATAAACGTGCATTAAAAACACATTACAACCTACCCTGTGAGGGATATGATTACGGCATTATAGTTTGACAAGCTTCTGTCAGTTCCTGCAAAGAAACACAACCTGTGAAATAGTTAGCAAACATATTTTAACGTTGTATAAAATTTATTCTACCCGGAGTAGCTATTAATTCTGTTTTTACTCACATTCGCTAATTCATTTTCACATTGCAAAAGGCGTGGTAGCTGGCGGCGGAGAGAAAATAAAGTTATTTACTCGGTTCTGTCCCAAAGGAAAAAGTAGGTACAGCCATACAGGGGTCCGTTGGTCTGTGCGTTGGTTCTGCCTTCAGGCCGAACAAACCTGCACACACACAAAATCCGATGGGGCTTTAATTCATTAACGGTATTAAAGGAATATATGGGACTCGCAAGCGCATTACAAAAGTATAATCATGGTGCCTGCTGGAGCAGCAGTGACTAGTCCTCGAGAGGATTGAGAATTTATTTTTGGAATTGTAAAAAAAAACGAAAATCGTATCTACTAAACCAGTGTCAAGATGTACGGCGAATATTACTAATGTCGAACTGTAGTGCTGGTACCGAATTAAATACGCGATTGAGAAATGCTCACTGCAGTCGCGTGAAGCCATATCATGGTAGACAATTAGTGAACTGCATCATCTTTCTTGTGCAACCATAGCTTGAATAGAATTTCACGCCTCAACAACAATAATAATAATAATACAACTTTTACATCAATTAAAACCATTGATATCTTCAGTCCAATTTGCATTGTTCATACCCACCTTTAAATAAAGATTACAATAACAATAATCAAGCAGCCGGGTGGCCTCCAAGCAATTAACACATTTACCTTGGTGTCCAGGGTCTGGCTGGTTCACATCCAAACTCGCCCACCACTTTCCGCACGGAGGGGGGCGCGGGGGGGGGATAAAACGATCAAATGGGAGCGTCGTCGGTTGTAATGTGCGTAGACGTAAAACCGTCGCCGTTGGAGCACCAGGCATAGGCGGCCACCGTGCGCCGCTTCCGCGCTCGGACGCGCGGCACAAGTCTTCCCGCACATCCGCTCGGGGTCAGACGCGGCCTTTTAATGCTAAAAGGCCAAACTGCCGCGGGGGCAACACTCCGCGCGAACGCAAGGGGTGGCGAAGACGACGGCGAGGACGGCGGCGGCGGCGGCGATCATCGCCACGGGGAAACCGCACGCGCGCGAAAATTGCGCGCGTCAGCGGCCGGGGTTAAAGGACGGTCTCTCGACAGATCCCGATGTGACTGTGAGGCCGGTCGTGCTCGCCGTGGTGAGGGAGGCGTCTCTGGGCCGACGGGGCCGATGAGCTCGTCTCTCCGCAGCTGTTCAAGTTCAAGCTCTGCCGGCGGGCCCGCCGGCTCGGCTGCCGAGACTGTGGCCGGTCTGATTGGCAGCCGGCTATAGCCTGAACAAAAAAACAAAGGGAAATAATAATATTTACCACGCAACAAAAACTCCCCCCTCCTCCTCCATATAGCCGTGAAGACTGTAGGAGCAAGTGCTGTTATACGAACCTAGGAGGGCAGACGAACATGCGTGCAGACGGACACACGTAACAAAGATTAACACCCGCCCACCGCACATATAGCCATGTCAGGCTGTTGAAGGCCAGCAGAGTGTACGAGGGGGTGGGATGGCGAACGTCACGCCCGACCACCTTTGTCTCCCCCGTATTGAAGTATGGAAGGCCCAAGACCAATTCAGGTATTTGTCGCTGTTATTGGTCGCGAGTGGGAATGCGAACTCGGGTGGCCCAGGTCCCTATGTGCACTGTTAGTGAGCACCTTTTAAAGGTGGCAGAGCACAAGAGGGGGAGTTGTGTATTCAGCACCACGCCTGACTTATACCCCTTTAAAGCTGAGAAAATCTAATAAATTCCCAGTACAAGTTTAGAAGCTGCAGGAAGGCGAAGCGAACGAACCCAATCTAACCCGCATTGATTCGAAGTGCGTATCTTGAGCAGAAGAACGTTTTCTTGAACCAACGTTTTCTTGAACCAACGAAACAATGCGATTTTCTCCGGGTCCTCCGGTTTTTGCCTCCACATTTAGAATCAACGTGCGTCTGGACCCATTTGGCCGCTATAAATGTCCATATTGACCTCTCATTTGTGGCCAGGTCGCTTCCGAAAAAGAGCTACATAGCTCAAGTGGGCCTTCCCTGGTAAAATAACAAAAAATAGCATGACAAAAACATTTCAATGGCTTTGCACAGTTTCGCGCACCTGGTCGATGACGTTGGCGCTCGCGATGGCCTCTTCCATGTGGCCCTCGTCGAGCGCAATCACGGACCGGATGTTGTCCACGACGTGCTGCACCTCCGGCGAGAGGTTGTCGGCCGCGTCCGAGTGTTCCAGGAAGCGCGCCACCAGCAGCTTGGTGTCGCGGTACGCCTTCAAGTCGACGAGCGAGCGCGGCCGCGGCTGGGCCCCCTCGGCCCAGCCGCGGCCGCCGGCGCCACCGGCCCCGCCGTCGCCGCGCAAGTGCGGCCTCTTTGGGCGCCGCACGACCGGCCCTCGCTGCTCGAGGGAGCCGGGGGGGGAGCTGCTGACCGCTTGCTGCTGCTGCTGCTGCTGCTGCCGCAGGGGTAGGTGGTCGCGGCTTCCCTGCACGCTGGACTGGCGGCTGCCCTCGGTTATACGAAGAGATTTCATCCCTGGGGTGGGTGGTGGGGGAGATGCAAGAGTGCAGATAGAGCCTTGTCCGAGACTCCGGGACCCTGGCTCAATCGACCAATTGGATGGCATTTATTTTCACTCGCGGTTCCATGTGAATGTAGAAACCTCAGATTCGTTTGGCGAGGGCCACTCTCTCCACAGAACAAGCATCTGTAGGAGAACCATTCAAATGCACTGTTGACTTACCACGAATTTCCACAGCATGTATTAACTCCAGGTAGATGACCGGCTGAGCCAACCCCTCCAAATGGCGTCAGATTGAGGTTAAACGCTCAGCCGCAGCACCACCTGGCCATTTAAATTGGAGTTTAATTGCCAGTCCAGGTGGATGAGAAATTGTGGGTGCTTTGATCTGCATGGGAACCTTTGTACTGGGATACATTTAATGTAGGACATGCGCGACTAACTTTACATGCTGTGAGCATTCAATGTCAATTGGGTTAGGGTTATTCCGAAGATTTTAATCGTTGTACTGGGCAACCCTTTCTCGCAGATTACACGGATTAGGTTATATTCATGTCGGTATTTAGCTACTTTGTTTTCAGCTTGATCATGAAACCAGCCCACCTCCTGAGAGATCACTCAAATCCACACTCGTGCCTTCAGATTCATCCTCGGCAACTACAGGAGGCACGCACACACACAGCCCAGGTTATGTTTATTTATAACACAAACGTTGCTATGAATATGTTTTCAACAATATAATATATTATTGTGTTATTTTATTTGATCAATTTATTATTTTATTCTCATTCTACGTGACTTTACCGAAAGAACCAAAGAAGAAAAAAATATAAGACAAACATATGAAGTATAACATTTTAAAACCATGAGTTTCGGTAATAACTTTCGTGATGTTTTCACATTTTACTATTGTACAATGACGCATTAAATTAGATAAATGCATAACAGTATGATATATTACTATTTGCTAAATGCAAGTGGGAAGGAACACGCAGACTTTACATTCCTAATTGTATGGCTTGACCGCCGCATACTTTATAACCAATATCCAAACAAGGCCACCAAGGCGGCTCACCACATTTAACATAAACACTGCAGGGGAAATGATGGAACACAACGAACACAAGCGTCCACGCCAGTGAGTTACCAAGACGAAACCTGGCTCACTTTGCCGCCACCGCAGAATTCACCTCCCGACGAGCAGTGGCTTACCGAGGGTCGCCGACGACTGGGAGCAAGGGTCACTCGTCGACCTGCTCAGCCGAGAAAAGCTGAGCTTGCCCGGCAAGCAACCCATTGACGCCCCGGTCCTGCCCCCACCCCCTCCCCCGCTGCGCTCCACAGTCCTCCCACCGGCATCGAAGGCCGCGTCCATCTCCAGGGGCACGACGCAGCAGCCCTGGCCGACGTCCTCCGCCGACAGCGAGGTGACCCTCAGAACTCTGGACGCGAGCCTCCGCGGCCGGGGCAGCCCGCCGCCGCCGCCGCCGCCGCCGCGCCGGCAGCGTCCCGGGAGGAAGCTCCGCGCGTCTCTCGCCACGCCGGCCCGGCCGGAGGGCGGCTCGTCGCGAGGCAGGCTGCGCTCGTCCGGGCTGCCGGGGCTGCTCGGCGCCGTGCCGGTGCGTGCGGTGCTGTAGGCCGAGGACCGCGCGTCGTCCGTGCTCGGCGTCGTGCCGCCGGAGCCGCCGGAGCCGCCGGCGGCGTCGTCGTCGCCCCGAGAAGGCCGGCGCGCGGGACATCGCGGGGTACGTGGGGTACGTGGGGTACTTGGGGTACGTGGGGTACGTGGGGTACGTGGGCTGCCGCCAGCGTCCCCCGGGGGTGCCTGCGCGAGGCCGCCGCCGCCGCCGCCGCGTGAAGGAGTCGCCGCTGCGGAGGACCGCGCGCCCGCGGGGCTGCACGGCGGGGAGAGGTCCTCGCCCGAGCGCGGGGAGCAGTGAGCCGCCATGGAGCACGACGCCTCCGTGGCACCGTCCTCGTCCGGCACGCCTCCCAGCTCCTCCGACGCCCCTCCCGGACTCAGGCTCTCTGGGCGTAGGAGGCGTGCGCACGCGAAAGATTTAACGTTGCACTCGATTTTAAAAACGTGCGAAACTTTCTATTTTTTTTTATTTACCAGGTAAGGCCCAACCGAGCTATTAGCTTATTTTACAGAAGCGACCTGGCCACAAATGATGGCCAAACGAAGTGGCTTGTCACGTGGGAATTTATCTCAGCCAAATACCCCGAGCGCGATGTTGATTCTAAACGTGAAGGGGAAACACCGAAGGACCCGGAGTAAAATCCGACGCGACCGCGGGGAGAGACGCGTGCAAACTCCGATTATACAGCGGGCGTCAGGGTCGGGATCGGACCCACGACCTCCCGCATACCAGGCGAGGCAGCAAACATCTCGCCACCGCAAAATAAGCAGACAACAAAATGTAACTCGAGCAAGTCTTCTTCGTAAAGCCCTCGTTATGAATGAAGATAAAGGTGCATGCCTGTCATCACACGCTCACGTCACTGCTGGTCGTCGAGCCTCCACTAGAGGGAGCTCCAGAGAACTTCCAATAGAGGGGTTTTTGGCCTACTTTTCCAAAACTGGTCAGACATTCCGAATTAAGCGCGGAAACTGATATTCTATTTCTTTCTGGAAGACAGCTCAAGGGGCTCATTTGCAAGGGAGACGCGAGGTGTATAACATCAGATGACATCGATGACACAACGACATGGCTGGCCTCTAACTTGGTGAGACTGATGAGCATCTCGGGCAATTATCCTTTCCGAGAGTTACTCAGTAGTTCCTTCTTTGCAGCAGTGGTCGTTTTATAGAGACTCCAGCCCTCGCCATCAGAAAGTGGACTTTTTATGAACAACTTAGAGGCGCATGAGCCAGTTTACATCCAATAATGGAGAGAATTATATTAACCTTACATAATTATTGTAGTTTTACTGATTTCGTGTTGTATGTTTATAATTCTCTTGCAATGCAGCTGCTTCCTTATCTGCAGCTAATATCAGTAAACGAGTGCCGTCTATAGATGATACCAGTGGCAAGTGAATCTCATCGGGTTTTTTTCCTGCTTACTTTCATTTCTAATTAACGTTGTGTGACTGCAAAAATAATTGCACGTATTCAATGTCTACCAAAAATGCTAAATGTGTGCCACCACCAAAAAACTCCATAAATGCATGCCCACACAAGAGCATCAAAAGAAGAGAAAGCGTGAAAATGATCAGATCAATTAAATAAATTTTAGGTTTTCTGATGGACGGGCTTCTTCGGAATATTACCCTTCAACAATCTGTGCACCCAATGCCAACGACAGTGTTCAGCCGCAACATTAATCAGACACCATAGAAGATATTTAAGTCCGAATCGTGCCATCGGCATCCTAGGCTTACCTTACTAGAAATGTTGCCAAAGGGTCTTTCGATGTCCATTTTAGAGCAGATGTGATTTTCGTGCATATTTCTTCAGTTGTATGATTTTGTTTGAAGCTGCCGATGACTCCATATCAATGGGGACATTTCCAAGTGCTTGTTTGTTTAAATCTGAAATGTCTACAGACTGCCATCAACCTCGTTTTGCTTTTCAATTAGTTAAGAGGACTGCTTTGGAATAAATAACCAACATTTGATGTAAGCATGCATAGTTCCAGCAAAGAAAACAATCGACAGTCTAATGTGAAAACACAATTACCTTCATTTGTCCTGTTGTAGTTACTGTTGCTATAAGAAGCGTCCGTCATTTGATCTTCAAAACTTGACGTCTGTTTAATGTTACACGGGAACAAACAAAAACCCCAAAAATTCAACATTAAGCAACTGCAGTCAAGCTCAAAATAATTGTAATAAAAATGAATTACTATGCCGCACATCGAGGAGCATTCCTGTAATCCAACGTGTTGGAGGCAGGGTTGGTGGATCGTGTAAAGACGATGAACTCTAAGGGACGCTAATGGGCAGTGCTACGAGATGCCCTGTAACGGACAGTGCTGGATTTCAAGTCGCTGATCAATCTGTTAAAAACATGTAGAAATTATTGTCTAAAGATCGCAAGCAGGATCTTCTTCAAAGATAACCCTGAAATCAGGTGAAGATTTCCTGGGTAAAGTATGATAACCATTACAATAATTACGGGCCAAAGGCTAAATATTCCCTTTCATGATGATAATGAATGACATGCAAAGCAGCAAGTGAAAGTAATATTTCGTGTATGTCCATGGTTGCGCTGAACAGTTCTACAAAGTGTTCTAGGATTGTACTCCGTTAAGTTTGGCACGATGTCCGACGTTTCACTCCACGTGCTGCTGGGAGCTCCTTGGGGAACCGAATGGGGTAACTGAGCATTTCTTGGTAAAATGCCCAATGAACCGAATTGCTCCATGAAGTTCCCGAGGAAACGTGGAGTGAAACGTGGAATGCCATGCAGCACAACCATCGCACAAACTCCGGTCATCCTGGCAGTGGCTTTTGGCTCAACGTCGAACAAAGGCGCGCGGTCACCGCATCGCACGCTTTCAGATGCGCTCCTGCGGCCGTCTGGAACGCTCTTCCTTCCGATATCAGGAAGTCACTGGAGCCGTGCACTTTTAAATCATCTAGATTGACAAACTCATTTCTTTAGAACTGCTATTTGTGTTTGGTTTGGTGTCCCTCCCCCACACCTCCGATGAGCACGGTTGGCTACGTACGGCGTGAAAGAAGTTCAAAGCGCATCTAATTGTCTCCATACAGACACCAATGAATATGTGGATCCCGCACAACAAAGCAACAGCGGCTTGCGGTGAGCGTTAGCGTAAGTGGGAGCTCCGCTTGCCTGTTGAAGAGATGGCTGGCTCACCACGGCCTCGTACGGCGGTGGGAGATCGCCCGGAAAACATGGGTCCGGACTGCCCAGGCGAGCCCCGTACACGTGACCGATGGAGTAGTGCGTGAGGGCCAACCTGCCGACCCTGTACACAGACAGGACAAGCAACCCATTGACGCTCCGATCCTGCCCCCTCCCTCCTCTCCAGGGGCACGACACGACCCAGCAGCCCTGGCCGACGTCCTCCGTTAAACAGCGAGGTGACCCTCAGAACTGTGGACGTGACACCCGCCCCCCCCCCCCACCTCTTTAATTTAAACCACACATCATATCTAATGGGCAGTTTAATTCATTGTTATGTTGAGGTTTTTTATATATATGGGTGCTGCAACATTAGGTTAAGTGCTTATGGATTAATAATCATGATATAACATTAGGATCCGAGAAGTAGTTATGTGTGACTGGCTGTATAGGGCAGTGACTCATGCTGTATTCAGTAGGGTATAAAATAGTTCAATGCAGAGACTGTCCCTCACTGTCGGATTTGAAATTTCGACCACGGGCTTGCCAGTAATGATAAGCATCACCCAATGCAAAGTTCAGCATAGCGATTATTTGACATTTTAAGCTTTAAATAAAGTAGTCAATTTGAATTCCAATTGTGCTCTCGGCAACATGTCACATCAAATTCTCAGAGCTGGAATTCATCCAAATTAGTTGAAATCCCAAATATAATGATTTTTTTTGTGCAGTCTGCAATCATTGTGGTTTGGGATAAGACCACGAATTGCTACGTTTGATAAACTGTCTTTAAAAACAGGTTGCTACCCAGATTCAAACTCGAGATCTCAGTGGAGCGGGCTCAGCGCTTTGACCCCTGGACCTCCACTGTATGAGAGCGTGTTTATTTCGTGTGAGCAGTGCTCCGAATGAACACTGACACAGGACACATGAAAGCCAAAAAAAAATCTCACACTGATCAAACACATCTCAAATAAGTGGCACAAGTAATGAGGGGGGTAGTTTTACATCGGCGCTAGTCAAGTCAAGAAAGATTGAACTGTGAGAAGCTTCTTATTTAAGGATTTAGAAACACTGCAAATGAAAGCTGATCAACTGATATTGAATTCTGTTTGATCGAAGAGTGAGATTTGGTAGGGGGGGCGGGAAAGAGTAGTTTGTCATCACTGATAATAATACACTTGATGTGAATCAATTGATAAATCAAGAAAATCCATGCAAGAAGAGCAATGTCCAGGCAGGCAGCAGCATCAATTGGTTTGTGTACTTGCACTGTGTAGTCTATGGCGTAGTCTATGGTGTAGTCTATAGTGTGGTCTATGGTGTGATGTCTAGTCTATGGTGTGATGTCTAGTCTATGGTGTGATGTGTAGTTTATGGTGTGATGTGTAGTCTATAGTGTGATGTGTAGTCTATGGTGTGATGTGTAGTTTATGGTGTGATGTGTAGTTTATGGTGTGATGTGTAGTCTATAGTGTGATGTGTAGTCTATAGTGTGATATGTAGTCTATGGTGTGATGTGTAGTCTATGGTGTAGTCTATGGTGTGATGTGTAGTCTATGGTGTGATGTCTAGTCTATGGCGTAGTCTATGGTGTGATGTGTAGTCTATGGCGTAGTCTATGGTGTGATGTGTAGTCTATGGTGTGATGTGTAGTCTATGGTGTGATGTGTAGTCTATGGCGTAGTCTATGGTGTGATGTGTAGTCTATGGTGTGATGTCTAGTCTATGGTGTGATGTGTAGTTTATGGCGTAGTCTATGGTGTGATGTGTAGTCTATGGTGTGATGTCTAGTCTATGGTGTGATGTCTAGTCTATGGCGTAGTCTATGGTGTGATGTGTAGTCTATGGTGTGATGTGTAGTCTATGGTGTGATGTGTAGTCTATGGCGTAGTCTATGGTGTGATGTGTAGTCTATGGTGTGATGTGTAGTCTATGGTGTGATGTGTAGTCTATGGTGTAGTCTATGGTGTAGTCTATGGTGTGATGTGTAGTCTATAGTGTGATGTGTAGTCTATGGTGTGATGTGTAGTCTATGGTGTGATGTGTAGTCTATGGTGTGATGTGTAGTCTATAGTGTAGTCTATGGTGTGATGTGTAGTCTATGGTGTAGTCTATGGTGTGATGTGTAGTTTATGGTGTGATGTGTAGTCTATGGCGTAGTCTATGGTGTGATGTGTAGTCTATGGTGTGATGTGTAGTCTATGGTGTGATGTGTAGTCTATGGTGTAGTCTATGGTGTAGTCTATGGTGTGATGTGTAGTCTATGGTGTGATGTCTAGTCTATGGTGTGATGTGTAGTTTATGGTGTGATGTGTAGTCTATAGTGTGATGTGTAGTCTATAGTGTGATGTGTAGTCTATGGTGTGATGTGTAGTCTATGGTGTGATGTGTAGTCTATGGTGTGATGTGTAGTCTATGGTGTGATGTCTAGTCTATGGTGTGATGTCTAGTTTATGGTGTGATGTGTAGTCTATAGTGTGATGTGTAGTCTATAGTGTGATGTGTAGTCTATGGTGTGATGTGTAGTCTATGGTGTGATGTGTAGTCTATGGTGTAGTCTATGGTGTGATGTGTAGTCTATGGTGTGATGTGTAGTCTATGGTGTGATGTGTAGTCTATAGTGTGATGTGTAGTCTATGGTGTAGTCTATGGTGTGATGTGTAGTCTATGGTGTGATGTGTAGTCTATGGTGTAGTCTATAGTGTGATGTGTAGTCTATGGTGTGATGTGTAGTCTATGGTGTGATGTGTAGGCTATGGTGTGATGTGTAGTCTATGGCGTGATGTGTAGTCTATGGTGTGATGTGTAGTCTATGGTGTGATGTGTAGTCTATGGTGTGATGTCTAGTCTATGGTGTGATGTCTAGTCTATGGTGTGATGTCTAGTCTATGGTGTAGTCTCTGGTGTGATGTGTAGTCTATGGTGTGATGTGTAGTCTATGGTGTAGTCTATGGTGTGATGTGTAGTCTATGGTGTAGTCTATGGTGTAGTCTATGGTGCAATGTGTAGTCTATGGTGTAGTCTATGGTGTGATGTGTAGTCTATAGTGTAGTCTATGGTGTGATGTGTAGTCCATGGTGTAGTCTCTGGTGTGATGTGTAGTCTATGGTGTGATGTGTAGTCTATGGTGTAGTCTATGGTGTGATGTCTAGTCTATGGTGTAGTCTATGGTGTAGTCTATGGTGTGATGTGTAGTCTATGGTGTGATATCTAGTCTATGGTGTAGTCTATAGTGTGATGTCTAGTCTATGGTGTGATGTGTAGTCTATGGTGTGATGTGTAGTCTATGGTGTGATGTGTAGTCTATGGTGTAGTCTCTGGTGTGATGTGTAGTCTATGGTGTGATGTGTAGTCTATGGTATGATGTCTAGTCTATGGTGTAGTCTATAGTGTGATGTCTAGTCTATGGTGTGATGTGTAGTCTATGGTGTGATGTGTAGTCTATGGTGTGATGTGTAGTCTATGGTGTAGTCTATAGTGTGATGTCTAGTCTATGGTGTGATGTGTAGTCTATGGTGTGATGTGTAGTCTATGGTGTGATGTGTAGTCTATGGTGTAGTCTATGGTGTGATGTGTAGTTTATGGTGTGATGTGTAGTCTATGGTGTAGTCTATGGTGTGATGTGTAGTCTATGGTGTGATGTGTAGTCTATGGTGTGATGTGTAGTTTATGGTGTGATGTGTAGTCTATGGTGTAGTCTATGGTGTGATGTGTAGTCTATGGTGTGATGTGTAGTCTATGGTGTGATGTGTAGTCTATGGTGTAGTCTATGGTGTGATGTGTAGTCTATGGTGTGATGTGTAGTCTATGGTGTGATGTGTAGTCTATAGTGTGATGTGTAGTCTATGGTGTAGTCTATGGTGTGATGTGTAGTTTATGGTGTGATGTGTAGTCTATGGTGTAGTCTATAGTGATGTGTAGTCTAAGGCTGCGATTATGATACTGCGACATGGCAACGTTGGAAGGAGTGCGAGGACACCAGTCGAGGTGACAGAACACACAAAACTCAGAAGACATTGAAAGTCTGCGTTGCATGTCTGACAATTCAACTAATTAATGACTCAAGGTTCCCTAAAGATCAATAACACAGCCCTCTGCGCATCAGATGATAAAATAAAATCCAATGTCTTCAGCCGGATGCTGTTTTACTAGGATTATTCGTATGTTTAATAATTGTGCTTTGTTTTTAGAACGATAATCTCGTATTGCTCGGTCAGATATTAGTCACAGACTTGATGCAATCATTACTTGTGTTGAGCACAGCACTCACCAATCCATCTGAACCGCCACACATTTGCCGCATATTTTCTTAAAAATAAAGAACTGTACGTAAAATGTGTGTATATTGAGTGGATCAGCAGAGCACACACATCGATGTTTATTCCATGTTGGTTCATGCGCGACAATGGGATTACATCCGTGCTCCTTAAAATGTAATTGTTTTTCCACGTCAAAATGCGAGTGAATGTACGTGCCTGATTGCGCAGCGGTGGATGAGGTTATAATAGTGAGGTCGTGTCAGAGTACAAAAAGCAATGTTAATAGTAAACCTCATAAACAATTCTTAGTGACACGGTGTTAATACAATCATGTCTCTCTTGACATGCACATCACATTTATGAAGATTGATGGTGGGAAAAAACGAAACAGGCAACATCCAGAATCTATTGGAAGCTGCAAGAATTGTTGAAAATTTTTATAACAAAAAACATTTAAACAGTTTTCAACCCCGTCAGCTGCGATGAACCAAAAAAAATGTGACTATTGTAACGTTAACATAAATGCGAATTTACTTCAGCTATCCCCAACAAAGAGGCTAACACAATTTGTTTGGCAACCTTCTAATTGACATCTCACTCTCACACACATCATTATTTGAAAAACATCGTTTTAACTCCACGTGGAATGTATAATTTTTTTTCGGAAATTATCTAAAGTGCCGCTAAGAAAGGTAACAGATGTGTATTCATCGTTGGGAAAAAACATGTATTCTACTATATACTAAACAAAGACATAATACTGTGAAGTAAATATTACTATGGACTGTTTTTTTTTCTTCTTACTAAACCCTGGGAGCTTTGGTCAAATGAAGCTACCACAATTGAGGCACTTTAGATCATCAGGCTATGCCAGCCAGCCACTGCATTTGACCCATTGCTTAATCAAATGCTGTCTTAGCAGTGAACACAACGTGAACAGCAGAAAATTTCCAATGAGCTGCGAGACAAAACAATGTAGCTCTGAACAATAATTAATTAAATAGTGAGAACACCGCACCACACGTACAGTGAGGGAAAAAAAGTATTTGATCCCCTGCTGATTTTGTACGTTTGCCCACTGACAAAGAAATGATCAGTCTATAATTTTAATGGTAGGTTTATTTGAACAGTGAGAGACAGAATAACAACAACAAAATCCAGAAAAACGGATGTTAAAAATGTTATAAATTGATTTGCTTTTTAATGAGGGAAATAAGTATTTGACCCCTCTGTAAAACATGACTTAGTACTTGGTGGCAAAACCCTTGTTGGCAATCACAGAGGTCAGACGTTTCTTGTAGTTGGCCACCAGGTTTGCACACATCTCTTAAGGTTTCGAGGCTGACGTTTGGCAACTCGAACCTTCAGCTCCCTCCACAGATTTTGTATGGGATTAAGGTCTGGAGACTGGCTAGGCCACTCCAGGACCTTAATGTGCTTCTTCTTGAGCCACTCCTTTGTTGCCTTGGCCGTGTGTTTTGGGTCATTGTAATGCTGGAATACCCATCCACAACCCATTTTCAATGCCCTGGCTGAGGGAAGGAGGTTCTCACCCAAGATTTGACGGTACATGGCCCCGTCCATCGTCCCTTTGATGCGATGAAGTTGTTCTGTCCCCTTAGCAGAAAAACACCCCCAAAGCATAATGTTTCCACCTCCATGTTTGACGGTGGGGATGGTGTTCTTGGGGTCATAGTCAGCATTCGTCCTCCTCCAAACACGGCGAGTTGATTTGATGCCAAAGAGTTTCATTTGGTCTCATCTGACCACAACACTTTCACCCAGTTGTCCTCTGAATCATTCAGATGTTCATTGGCAAACTTCAGATGGGCATGCATATGTGCTTTCTTGAGCAGGGGGACCTTGCGGGCGCTGCAGGATTTCAGTCCTTCACGGCGTAGTGTGTTACCAATTGTTTTCTTGGTGACTATGGTCCCAGCTGCCTTGAGATCACAGACAAGATCCTCCCGTGTAGTTCTGGGCTGATTCCTCACCGTTCTCATGATCATTGCAACTCCACGAGGTGAGATCTTGCATGGAGCCCCAGGCCGAGGGAGATTGACAGTTCTTGTGTTTCTTCCATTTGCGAATAATCGCACCAACTGTTGTCACCTTCTCACCAAGCTGCTTGGCAATGGTCTTGTAGCCCATTCCAGCCTTGTGTAGGTCTACAATCTTGTCCCTGACATCCTTGGATAGCTCTTTGGTCTTGGCCATGGTGGAGAGTTTGGAATATGATTGATTGATTGCTTCTGTGGACAGGTGTCTTTTATACAGGTAACAAGCTGAGATTAGGAGCACTCCCTTTAAGAGTGTGCTCCTAATCTCAGCTCGTTACCTGTATAAAAGACACCTGGGAGCCAGAAATCTTTCTGATTGAGAGGGGGTCAAATACTTATTTCCCTCATTAAAATGCAAATCAATTTATAACATTTTCGACATGCGTTTTTTTCTGGATTTGTTGTTATTCTGTCTCTCACTGTTCAAATAAACCTACCATTAAAATTATAGACTGATCATTTCTTTGTCAGTGGGCAAACGTACAAAATCAGCAGGGGATCAAATACTTTTTTCCCTCACTGTAAACTGAATTGGACCGTGACATAAAATAAATACGGCACGCGTGGACACGGGAGGGGGGGGGGGGGGGTGGGGCCCGCACACAGACCCACACGCACACAAGGGAAGACACTGTTTCGTGTTCCACCATAGGCAAACGCTGATTCTCTGCACCGTAGATTTTTAAAATGTTGTATGGCATCTATGAGAGGAGGTTCATCATCCCCCTCGAGGGGGATGGTGGGACGGGTCAGCAAGCACGCAGGGGGATTAGCATCAGGCCCTGCCGTCTTTTGATTTCGCTTTTAATATTTTGTTACTTTTTTGTTATAAAAATGTTTAATCCGAGAACCCAAAACAGACATCAAAGAGAGGGAAACGCGTTACGAACCGCGAGCAATATTTACCCCCAAATGTTTTTGTTTTTATTAATATTGCAAACAAGTGCTGCGTGAATAAATATAAGCACAGGGCAACACCTTGTTGCCAAACCAAATTACGTAGTTTGGGCTCCGTGCATGTTTATGAATATGTAAACTTTTACATACATGTGTTTCCATGCGTATTTATATATATGTATTTGGGGGTGAACTTAATTTCGTGAAAAGAAATATACTGATGTGCCTCACAGAAGACCGTTTTTAATGAGTACATATATAAGTCGCGATATGTGGATCGCAAAACGCAAACAACTGGAATAAAAGCTGAAAAGTGTGCAAGGAAGGATGAAAATGCGCTCGCTAGGAATTGCAGCGAGAGACAAAATGAGGAACACCTGCACCACAAAACGTCATATTACGCCGTTAGGAAAGGTGAGCGGGCTCGGGACAAGCACGTTGCCAGAAGCGATTATGGCCAATGCTTGAAACGAAAGACAGAGAGGATGAGCCCTTAGAGGACCTCCACCGTGGAGACGGGGTGACGAAATCAACTCGTGCGTTGCGTGTGCGGGTGCCAGGTGTATTGTTGCCTCGCAAAACGGTGAAACATGGCGATGGTTTTGGGGCAGGCGTTCGGTCAGCAGCGGATTGATCTTAGCCGGCGATGACAACGGTTCGCACCACAGCAAAGATTCAATGAACTGTCACGATTTTGGGGGGGTCGTGATTCGATTCAAGAATAGCTTGTTATTTTTTTCTTGCCCTGGTTTTACCGCGTCATCCGCTCGATTAGTACGTTAAGAATAAACTGTAAATAACCGCCCCTCGCTCGTACATTGATCCGTGTAGCGTAGACGCAAGTCACCGATTTGCAACGTAGTCTAATCGACACATCTTTTTTTATTGTGCGAATCGTCCCTTTGAATTCGGAACGAGGTGAGAACCCGCTGAGGCAACGACGCTCGCTTTCAACAGAGACGAGCGTGAGATAATGGGGGGGGGGGGGGGGGTTGGGGGCAGGGCAACATTCACTCTTAATATTCAGCACGGAATCTCCCAAAAAAAGTCATTGGGGAAAAGAAGCCATGCAAACGTTGCGCGAATGTGCAACATGACAAACCAGTGAAATAAAAAAATAATCGAAGCGCAAAAGCAAGGTCAATTATATTCTTGGGTCTTACGACTTTACCGAAAGACCCAAGAATATGAATTCCTGCAGTCACGAAAGCTTTCAGTCAAGATTCAAGGTGCATTAATTTAAACACTGGGCAGGGGGCAGGGATGCTTCAGGTCAATCGACCTGCTGCTCGGCCTATCAGGGCTCAAACGGTCACCAACCTGTACCTTTCTCCTCGCACGTCACTTAAAATTCCCCTTTTCCACTTTTACTGGCTAAAAACGACATCTCGACAATACCGGAGTGACTCCGGCAGTGCTGCGTGGCCGTACGCCGGTGGGTAGTAAGGAGGCGGTGGGACGGGAGGAATGAAGTCGTCAAAGTCCTCGCCCTGGAAGATGGAATCGCGCGCGTTTGGGCAGTCGTCGGAGTTCTGGTCCGCGCGGTGAGGCACAAACTGGGGAGGCAGCGGGACAAAGGAGACAGCAGACGAGAACGAGCAGGCATAGTCCATTCAAGGGAGCCTCCATTGCATCGGTAGATTTGACTGCTGCCGAGGAAATCGCGCGTGGAAACCCATAAACGCACAGGCAACCAAATGAGCGCATGCAGCATCAACTGAGTGCACACGAACACAAGCTAAACTCGCTGGTACAATATATGTACAATTGTGTCGATCAGCTGTACGGTGAGTTTTGTAATTAACTAATTTGAAGGGGGCGGGTCCATAGTTTCTTGTGAAAAGAATTTAATATCGTTAAGCCAAGCAGATTGCAGAGATAGATGAAATAAAATACGTCCCGGTCATTGACATAAGCGGCCCCCATCGGCTCCTACTCTTTGTTTTTTTCGCTAAAGTCACGTAGGTAAAATAAAATTTAAAATAAAAGAACACAACTGAATTAAATCACGACGTTTCGGAGGCAACACAAGCTTCCGTCTTCAGGTGGAACAGTCACAGCAAGATAGCTGCACTTGGTGCACTTGGTGCAGCTATCTTGCTCTGACTGTTCCACCTGAAGACGGAAGCTTGTGTTGCCTCCGAAACGCCGTGATTTAATTTAGTTGTTTTCTCTCATTCTAAATTTTATTTTACCTACGTGACTTTACCGAAAAAAAACAAAGAGTATGAATCCTTGCAGTCACGAAAGCTTCAAATCTAGGACCCATCGGCTCCCTTAAGAGTAGTCGCTCAAACATTGGCTGCCCTCCTCCCGCAGCCAATCAAAATCCAGGCGTGAGCAGGAAAAAAACAAATGAGCTGAATAAAACATGCCACTCTCTTTGGTTATTCATGACCGTAGTCTATAGCGTGAAGAAGATAAAAAAACCCCAACAGGCAATTAATAATTACTTATTTAAGAAGATAGAGCTAATGAATGTACAAAAATAAGGCTTTACCTTTAAATTGTGTACGAGTGGTCAGGCAACGTAGGTTTTAGTTATTACCTATGAATAATGTTTTTGTCATGCTGCCTCATGTAAGATTTATGTAATAAATTTAACTTTCAGCTATATTCATGTCACATACTGTGTAATTTTCAAATGATTGAGGAAATATACGCGCATTAATATTAAAATGTATTTCACTTTTGAGGTGAAATTCTGCACGAGGTGCTATTTTTCACTCGAAAGTACGGTAAAATATATAGATACATGCAATCATCACTGAATTTTAGATGGCATGACTCAACTTCCTTCCGCAACACAATTAAATTCCATTCCTTATAATGCCAGGGTCTCTCAAGCTTCGACAGAAGCAGTCCTCCCTGTCAGGTTACATTATTATGATAATCAGAGACTCGACGTTCCATAAAGTGTACTGCTAAGCACATTGGATGTCTCAAAGTTCCTGCACCGTATTCTAAACAATGATCCTAAATTCCTCCCTACCGCCCGCGCCTCTGTCCACCCCGCAGTATTCATTTAGTAAATTAGCACATCACAGTCACGTGTTGCTGGGGTAAAGTGCGGGTACTTGCTGCTCTTCCCACGCACCTCCGATTAGCACGGTTGGCCACGTACGGCGCGAAAGAAGTTCAACGTAGATACGTACGTACTCTCGCCTCTTGCAAGACATCTGGCCAGAATGGAAGAGTAGGCCAAAATACCTTCAAGAGGGCTTCTCTAGAGCTCCCTCTGGTGGAGACCCTTCTGCCAGCAGTTGCGTGTGCAAGCTATTGCAGAGCTGCGCCTTCACCTTCCACCAGCATTTCTAGGAACAGCATGACCCCGTGTCTGTAATATCAGGGGAGTGAATTTTCACACTTGCTGCGCAAAGGCAAGTCAGGAGGTTTTGGTAAGAATTGGAATGGCCACGCGGAGCACAGAGTGCTGTCGAACGCTCGTAGTCTAGACGAGAGTACGGCAGGGTCGAGTGGGGATGATTTCACACTCGTGATACCAAGGACAGCGCCTCTCCATTACCCCAGCCGGGCCAGAGACTGACAATAATCTTGAGCATGAAATGCTCCAAAAACTTCAGGTTACAGCACGTATATTTTGCAGTAATGCTGATAGGACACCTTGGCATGAGTATGGGTGTCTTCTCTCGAAAGGATGTGCTATTTGCATTTTATTCCCTCAAAGTGACTTAGAAGGTGGATTCCCTTGGCCCACAGAGCACTGACAATGAGTACACGCCAGCCACAGAGCACTGACAATGAGTACACGCCAGCCACAGAGCACTGACAATGAGTACACGCCAGCCACAGAGCACTGACAATGAGTACACGCCAGCCACAGAGCACTGACAATGAGTACACGCCAGCCACAGAGCACTGACAATGAGTACACGCCAGCCACAGAGCACTGACAATGAGTACACGCCAGCCACAGAGCACTGACAATGAGTACACGCCAGCCACAGAGCACTGACAATGAGTACACGCCAGCCACAGAGCACTGACAATGAGTACACGCCAGCCACAGAGCACTGACAATGAGTACACGCCAGCCACAGAGCACTGACAATGAGTACACGCCAGCCACAGAGCACTGACAATGAGTACACGCCAGCCACAGAGCACTGACAATGAGTACACGCCAGCCACAGAGCACTGACAATGAGTACACGCCAGCTCCGCTAGAGAATAAGCGAGCGGCGAGATTACTGCGGTGCACAGAACTGTTTCTCAGTGATTCGTAAATGAGTAAATGAACGAACGTTTGCAAAAGATTTTAATTGGCCAACAAGCCCTTCTTAAAACTTAAACCTTTTCGACACGAGTTCCATTCATAAATACTGTATTCAACTCCCCATTAAGCAATATTTTTTCTAGTTTTTAAATATGGATGTATGTTGAACTTCTTTCGCACCGTTCGTAGTCAACCGTGCTAATCGGGAGGTAGGGTGGTGGGGGGGGGGGACAACACCCACGGATAAATAGGCAGCATTTTGAATGCACGGGAAAGCAATAAAAGGCAACTTTGAACATGTGACAAAAACAAAAACTGAAAAGAAAGTACACGCGATGCACTTTTAAAGGGTGAACAAATCAATCGCAGTAAGTAAGGGCACGCAGAGCAATGGCAGCGCCGCGGAGACAACCTGAACGTTTTTTTGACGATGTGGCAGCCGATAAGAAGAGTGAGGCATTACTCACAATGTGTATGACATCGGAGGAGATCATCTGCATGCAGCGTGTGGCTGTCGCAAGGGCGCATACGGCCACTGAGATGATGTTCAGAGCGCAGACGCTGAAGAGCAAATCCTGAAAGGCAGAGACAAGCATTACCCCCGCAGGCTCCCCGTACTCTAATCATGTAAACGAATTCATCAAGAATGCTGCTTACTGCAAAGCAATGTTTGCCGCTTTGTGTATGACTTACAAAAGTCATACTGCAGGGGTCAGGTATGCAATGATTGGGTCTCTTGATACATTTGCAGCTGCAAAGCTCCACAGCAATACCGTCATTCCTAAAGGGGGAACAACTGCTTGGAACATTCACAATTCTATGACGCCACACTCCAAAGACAGACCCCCCCCCCCCACCCCCCCCATCAGTTGGCAAATGAGGAGCAGAAAAACTAAAACAGCAGAACATATTCCCACACACGAGAAAAATCCTGCCGTGTGAGAATGGTATAAACAATAATAGAGAAAAAGATATGTCTTTGCAGCAGATGGCTGTGTGCTGTGTTGGCGATTACAATGACGCACTAGAACACTGTTACGTGATTATATCAAGCATCCAATGCCAGATATTACGCTATTACTCTCTCTTCAGGCATTCGTCTGAACATATGAAGCTGTATTTGAGAGAGCGTATTATTATTATTATTATAACGATATAATTGACTGCTTGTGGATTGTATACGGTGCTCGAGGCAATTACCGCGTGGTAATTAACGCCTCCCTGTGGTTCTCATGCAAATAACGTCGGGGGTTACGAAAGGAGGTAAACATTCTTAAATTATTCCCATCAAACGCACTGCACGCAAACTGTGGATTTCGATATATTATTTTGATTCATACTGCTAATGAAGCTTTCAAGAATGTTCTCATCTGGATATTATGCAGATACAACACACCCAGTGAAGTTATTCTTTTTGTAATATGAATATTAAAATGTATCTGCACTAAATGCAATCTCTCAAAGGGTCCTAAGGAATTAAGTTAATAAAAAAAATAATCAAAGGATATCCACTAGATATTCCACGATTTGTAATGATGATAAAATAAACATATACAAATTATTATCGTCAAAAACCACTGAACGCCTCCACCCAGAATGCAGTGCAAAGTAAACAATGCTCATGATGGTTTTTTGTGAACCCCACTGCAACAAAGATGAGGGCAGTTGGCATAATTGATATTTTTATTGGATATTTTAGCAAAACTTTGCCTGATTTAAACTGTAAGGGATTCAAATAACTTGGGGCTAAATATCAAACAAGCCAGAAACAAGCAAGTAACCCGATCACTGTTACATCCACAGCCATTTCTCTGCATCTGGGGCCTTCAGGAAGCCATGAAATAGTTCTGATCTTAGGTCAAGCGCCGAGTCAAACCAAGCCTCGCGTCACCAAAGGCGCGTGGTGGTGTTCATGGTTCCACGCACAATTTCACGTCATCATTATTTTGCACTGTCTCTCCACTCACGGTCAATCCCCGTGCCTCCAACAGCCTCTCGTAAAGGCCTTGTGGGATTTATTATTTTCGGAGAGAGGCTTTGTGCAAGTGGGTATTGGAATCATTCAAGGCAAGAGTTACTTTCAATGAGACCAAGCGACGAGATGCATCAAAAAGAAGGAATTCATAAAAAAAAGATAGGCGTGTCATGTCAGCAACAAAACCTCAGTTCAGAATTGACAATATATTTTGCTTGTTCGTTTGAACGATAAAATAGAACGGTGTAGGATGTTACCCTTTGCTTTACATACAAGGTCACTGCAGGATCATGAATACTCTTTATTTTATTTCTAACTACGTGACTTTACCGAAAGAACCAAAGAGTATGGATTCCTGCAGTCACGAAAGCTTCAAATCAAATCTCCGCACATAAACACAAAATCACTTGTAGCCCTCAGCCTATGTATTTGCTTTACATACTAACATCAAGCAGCATTTGTTTAAGCAAGCAAGCAAACTCTGGACTGGTGACGAGTTTGCGGTGTATTAGATCATGGTTGTAACTGTTCGCGACAAGGACGCATTCATTAGTTTGGTAATTGTCTAAATGCTGACAGATTTTAAGCAGGGCTATCATCACTAACAATATGCCGCTGATGTGGTGTAATGCACTCTCCTGAGAACAGTTGCACTCACCACAGTCGCTGAGCCATTATCGTGCCACCGAGCAGTCGATGCTGCTTTAACAATGGACGGAGAATTCTGATTCCCGGCAGTTGTGAACGTTTTGCCTTAAATTACTCAAATCTATGGAGTATTACAACGGATCATCGAACATCAATTCACCTATATGGAGGAACTGCACAGGTAAAAATTCACCGTCATCATTGCCATTAACACCAATACTCAGTTTCATTGCATTACCAATGGCTTTTGTGCGGTTTTTGTTCACGTGTTAGAATAATTTTGCTGATTTGCTGCATTTATTTTATCCCAGGTCTCCCTTGAGAAAATATATTTTTGGTCTCAATGCGCTCTTACCCGGTGATAAAGGTCATCTGTCTATACGTATCTGAGGAAAATGAAAGTCACCTCATCAATTCAGTTTCGTAAGCCTACTAATCTCAGTACACGCGATAACAAAAACATTTCCAAAATAAACTGAAATAATGACGATGAACGGAACGAGCCCAAAAGGACATCCACCACAGGGAGATGCAGCGACGAAATCAGGATCGTATGCAGTTGTTAGGTGGATTGTTACATGGCAGATCATGAAAGATGGCTGGGGGGTGGGGGGGGCAGCTTAATACAGCAGTGGATTGACCATGGCTGATGATGATAGTTATACATGCAGCATAAAGCGGGAATAAAAGTGATCATTTAAATTATAGCGCTGAGGTGGTCTGGTAACATTGTAGGTACGGCAACATATCGAGTCTGATACAGCGGAAATGTCAGAAAATTCAGTAATTATTTACTCTGTGGAATTATTTAACATCAATCAGGCCATGATGTTAGCGTCTATGATATGACCCTTGGCAACTTCAATGGAGTTTAATGCTAATTATTTTTGCATTACACTGCCTTATATAAACACAGGCACGCCATCTATATTCGATGAGGAAACACATTCATCACAAATTTATATTTTTAAGATGCAAATGCCCAGTGTATGAACGTTTTCTGAGACGCCCATAGCCAGGCATATAAAAAAAATCAGGTAGGAATGGCTATAAAATATAGAGACTGTTTATCCAACACATAGGAAGGGGTAGTACATGATTATTCAAGCCAAGGTTATTATTGATTTATTTGTTCAAGTTATCACAATAAATATGTGAATCATTGAGGAACAGGGTAATCCTTGATTACAGAAATGACTGTACCACAACTCGGGACTGATTCATCGCACGGTATGAGCCAAATTACGGCAAAGTGAGTTCCGTGCAGGCAGCTGTGTGATATCATCAACAGACGCTCACGATGAAACATTTTAATAAACTTGATTTGGCGATTTCGTGACTGCAGGCATTACTTTTGTTTTTTTCGGTAAAGTCACGTGGAAATAAGAAATAATAATAAAATTACATAAAAGCATACGACGTTTCGATTGCAACCCAAGCAATCATCATCAGGCATAGAAGAGCTAAATTTAAGAGAGAGAGAGGAAACACAGAACCGTAGACATATATACAGACACCTAAGTGTAGGGAGTTAACACAGAGACACAAAGAGAGACACGTATGGGACACAGAGAGACAGGGTCTCTGTGTCGAGGCCTTAGCATGTAGGGTAGACAGAGAGAGATGGAGAAGCACACTAAATTGAACAAGATTGAGTAAAATTTGGAAAGTATATAATGTAACACAGAGGGTCGGTCAAAACACAATTAACGCATGGTCTGGCTGATTACGTTATTTAAAAGATTGCTAAATTATAGGTTAAGAGTAATAGAGTACAGATCACAGACACATAAATAGACATCTAAGCAGAGAGAGTTAGCACAGAGACACACAGAGAGACACACATATGGGACACAGTGAAACAGTGTCTCTGTGACGAAGCCTTAAATAGAGGGGGGGGGGGGGGAGACTGAGAGAGTAAGTAGAGGCACACCACACACACATGCAGCCGCAGCGTGGGGAGAGGCACAAAATCAGATTAGCATGCCCACAGGGACTGTGGAGAGAGAGACAAGACACGTATGTGTCTTGTGTGTCTCTCTTTCAAATGTCACACTTAACTTAAGTTTGTGTCTCTGTGTTGTCTCCACCTGTGTTTCTGCCTCTGTGTCTACGTGTCTTGTCTCTCTCTCCACAGTCCCTGTGGGCATGCTAATCTGATTTTGTGCCTCTCCCCACGCTGCAGCAGCATGTGTGTGTGGTGTGCCTCTACTTACTCTCTCAGTCTCCCCCCCCTCCCTCTATTTAAGGCTTCGTCACAGAGACACTGTTTCACTGTGTCCCATGTGTGTCTCTCTCTCTCTGTGTATCTCTGTGCTAACTCTCTCTGCTTAGATGTCTATTTATGTGTCTGTGATCTGTACTCTATCACTCTTAACCTATAATTTAGCAATCTTTGCAATAACGTAATCAACCATACCATGCGTTAATTGTGTTTGACCGACCCTCTGCGCTGCATTATATTGTTTCCAAATGTTACTAAATCTTGTTCGATTTGATGTGCTTCTCCATCTCTCTTTGTCTCCCCTACATGCTAAGGCCTCGGCACAGAGACCCTGTCTCTCTGTGTCCCATACGTTGTGTCTCTCTTTGTGTCTCTGTGTTAACAACCTCTACTTAGGTGTCTATATATATCTGCGGTTCTGTGTTTCCTCTCTCTCTCTTAAATTTAGCTCTTCTATGCCTGATGATGATTGCTTGCGTTGCAATCGAAACGTCGTATGCTTTTATGTAATTTTATTATTATTTCTTATTTCTACGTGACTTTACCGAAAAAAACAAAGAGTAATGCCTGCAGTCACGAAATCGCCGAATCAAGTTTGAACCACCTCTACGGGGAGGTATCAAGTTTGTGTCTTTGTGTTGTCTCTGCTTGTGTAATACATTTAAGCCTTGCCACAGTAAAAAAAACAATTCAAAAGCCACCTAATACAATGGGCCAATGTTTGCCGATGTTATCCCCTTACCTTTTGAACAAAGTTCTTAATTGAAGAGGATGGCTCTTACTCTAGAATTGACATTAAGTGATTCTAAAGGGTGCAGCTCCCAATGATTATATTATCTTTGTTCTTGCTTCAATAGCGTGGGCATCTCACGTAACAATCTGAGCAATCGCCTATGCATAATTCATGCGATCTAAACCACGCATTTCAACCTATTACATATTGATGTTGTAGCGTTGGCAAACGTGTGCATTGTAGAATGAGAGTGTAGTTAATAATAATGTGCAACATGAGGAAATTATTTTAAAAGTTAAATCCCACCCCTTGCCAACTCAGCCCCACCCTCCGGTTCCCGACTTATACAGTACAGCATGACATTTACTGCAAATGTTTTGCCAATATAAATTGTACGTATAAATATTGTGCTTTGAATGTGGCTGGGTGGCTCAGGCATCTTGAGCCCGGGGAGCACTGAGAATCCGGGTTCAAATCTGGACATCTGTGAATCCAGGTAGCCGCTTAGCATTACACTCGGTTTCTGGTTGGTCACCAGTGATTGCATGGCATTAATAATATACATTGCTTTACGTGGCCAAATTCCAGATATGCAAATGTAAAAGTACATCGGTTTGGCTGACATTGGAAAGCATTTCCCTGCAGCAATGCGTACGTGAAAGAGTGGATACACTATGAGGTCAGTTGAAGTGGATTCAAAAGCAGTTCTGCGACATCTGATTCCACAAGCCATTCTCTACCGAATAGGCACTTTGTACGATGACACAACAGCAACGGCACAATTGGAATAAAACTGTGAAAAGGACTAAAGTATATATAAAACAACAAAAATAGATATTGAATTTTCAACAGGACGCGCTAACGCCATACATTCGTCAATGTAATTAATACCAGACCACGTGAAAGATTTGAAACTCCAAATACAGGGCAAAGGTATAAATAACGCCATTATGAACTTGACAACCAACGACGTTCGTGGCAACTTCAGCACCGAGGACTGTCAGGAAAGGAGATATTGATGGAGTAATCTACGCCAGTGAAAAGCAAAATGCGCTGGGCAGTTCTCACGGAGCGGACATCCGTGAGGAAGAAGAAAAAAAAGACATGAGCATCCATCAGCTGTGAATCCGCTCTTCCCTGCCAAGTAAGCCCCAGCTGCCGTTCTGTTTTCCCCGATCGAAAATGTCAGCACACATTGTGTGGCTCAGGTGACATTTTCAGCATTCATATGAAATGCTGGTTTACCCGGCCCCTCCCCTCCCCCGCGTTGCACGCAGACACATCGGCAAGGGGTCATGTGCAGGGCGTTTAATGTGATGGCGGCACACACGGTGGCTTAGGTTTGGCACTGACAGCTCCCACACCTTGCAGGTGAAGTCCCCCGCCCCCCAGCCCCCAGCCACCACCCCCCTATTAAAAAAGGACCGCATTTGTGAAAATTCACACCGGACACTACCAAGTAAAAACGTACCAAAAAAAACCAATCCAGCATGAGACAAAGACAGCCCATAGAGCATTTTTTAGGTTGTTTTGGGGGGATGGGAGCGCAGCCACTCCCTTTCAAGGAGCAACAAAAAGAAGGCCGGCATGATGCACAAGTGGAGCCAAAGACACTTCACTCACCGAAGCTTGCACGGACTGCCGGGGAAAGTGCTGTTAGCGAGCAGCGATGAAGGTCAACGCGGCGTGTGAAGGGGTGATTCTGGGTAGCACCACGTCCCGTCGTTTTAGTCTCCCCAGTGCCGATGTTTCTACACCACACCGGGTACTTATTTAAGGCTGAGTTGACCCAGGGGAGACCCGGAATCGGTCGAGTAATTTGCGACTGTGAGCGAGAATTTTATTCAGAACGCTTAGTGTGTAGCACAGTACACTAACCCCTACACTACACTTACCACCCCCCCCCATGTATTTTTTTGCTAACGATGCAGATTTATTTTCTTACAGATTCGCAGTCCATGAATTTGTAAACAAACTGCCATCCCAGCCGCGCTAATAGCTCCCGTGGATGAGGATTATCAAGCAAATCGCAGATAAACAGGCTGCCACGCAAAGCACACCATCAGGCTGTGTAGAAAACACATCAAGAATACTAATGAACAAAAAAAAAACCCGATCCTTTTTCATTGGGGAACGGCAACTTCTTTTTTTATTTTTCAACCCCGGGACGCAAGCTGTGCTAACGTCACGATTGACAGCGACAAAGTCACCTGCCCAGAAAATGCGAGCAAGGTACTTCTGGGTGCCCCCTTGAGTCAGGAGCCGCGTTAAGCGGTGGCCCTGGCGTTGCGGAACTAGGAAGACGCGCACCGAAAAGAAAAGAAAAGAAAATAAATCACGAGCCATCCTGTCCGGGCACGTCTGTGTACGTTTATTATCAGAACCGCTTAGGCCCCTGCACACTTTCAAGGCACTGTACCTGTACACGTTGCTGCAACAACAACAACAACAAAAAAGAGAGGCGAGGCGCCCGACAACAACAACAAAGATGCAGCACAACGTTGCAGACTGGAGCTCGCAGCACGAAATCTCCCGACAAACTCTCCTGAAATCAGCGATGGAACGAGTGAGGGCAGGAGACATGCGGAATAGAGCAAGCGCCTCGTGATTCATCTGCGGGTAGCTGTACGCTGGCCTCAAAGAAACATTCATCAATCTTTATCGCTTTGACAACAAGGCAGTGCGCTTCGATGGAATGTCTCAAATTAATTATTACGACGGATTTGCTAAAACCTGTACTTATCGAGTCCGGCACGCCGTGCCACTTGCAAACTCAGCCTAAACCCATTCACCGACACGATTTGCGTTGAATACGAAACGTCGCCCCCCCCCCCTCTCCCCAAACCATAACATAACAAAAAACAACACATTCCGATGGAAACGATACGAACCGTAGGCGACCGTGCCTTTTTTTGCGTGTGTGTGTGTGTGTGTAACGGGGACACACAAAAAAATTGGGTCGCAAACATTCGGTGGCTGCAGGCGATAACGAAGGAGCCTGGGCGAGCCCTCGGGTGTTGTTATCGTGTCAGTTTCATTTCGTTTGCACCGTCAAGCGAGCCACGGGCGGGTTAACGTACAAAGTGTCCACCACCCCCCCACCCCCCCCCCCCGAGAAGGTTATTTAAATCGCGCGTTTTTATCGCCCACGGCGCAGCGTGACAGTCACCTTGAGGGCGAGGCGCACGGAGTCGCACGCCTGCAGTGGGTTCAGCTTCAGGGTGTCCCCCAGGTTGCTGCAGCCGTTCAGCTTGGGGTTCTCGCAGCAGACGCACACGTCATCCTCCAAGTTGATCTGCACGCAGGCACAGCAGTCGCACGTGGACGTTACATTACGCGTCCACTGCACTGCGCCGTTTAATTTGTGCATACTTAGCAATTTCACTGAGGGTGCACATGTGGACACGTTCATATTTCATTACTTTTTGTGCTTCCCCTCGTACTCCTAGACGCTGTGGCGGTGTGCTAGTTAGCAGCACACTGGACTCGCGATCCAGAGGTCGCTGGTTTTGATTTGACCTCCCTGCGTGTCAGTTAAAGAACGAGGCAAGGTTCTTAAATCCTCCCAACACGAGCAGTATAAAATGGGTGCACCCACGGTCAGTCGATCGACGATGACACATGCAGTCGCGTAAGGCGTGGATAACTCCCCCACGCCTTCCAAAACGTCTGACCAGTGTGGAAAAGTAGGCCAAAGACCCTCTCGAGGGGTTCTCAAGTGCTCCCTCTACTGGAGGCCGTCCCACCAGCGGCAGTGTAAGCAGGCAAATGTAGTTCTGTCCTTCAGGACAAAGAGTCACGTACACTGCCCATCAGTGTGAGTGTTTTTCTCCTAATATTAAACTCTTCAAAACAATTGGCTTTTAAAAGGTGGGGTTAATAAATACTGCCCAGTATGAAAACCACCGTTTTTCATTAGAGTCCCAGCCATGCAAATTATCTACGAAATGCCAGTGTGGCACTTGCATAATTGCACCCAAGATTACTAGGGAGCGAAGCGTAATTGGAAGGTTTTATTTTTTATGCAACCGTGGCCAAGTAAGTTATTCAACCTGCGACCTGGCGATTGCTTCTGACTTGCTGTCTTGCCAGCGCTGTGGACATGGGGCCCGTTGCTTCGAGCGATTCACGCGCGCTACCCAGTGGTACAGTCGAGCTGAAGGGCGATCGTGAAACTTGGCTTCATCCAATTGAACCTGTGGTTGTGCATACACTGTTGAATGGCTTTCCTTCACCCCCAATGTTTGTTCTACCACTGAAATTTTTTCACTTGAAACTCTGAAGGAACACATTTCATTCAAGTGTTCATGTGTGCGTGCGTGCACACAACCCTTATTTGTATAGGGGAAATAGCAGACAGGCAATTTAAGCCAAGAATAAAGAAAGTTACTGGGAAAAGACCAAGGCATTACAGACACAAGTAACCTCATTTGCGGTGACGCAACATTCAACATGCGATCACAATAACTGATGATAATTAAGCGCCACTTGTTGAATTGGATATAACGCAATGAATGTATTCGGGAACACATTTTTCATAACGCGGATGCGAATTGGATATAACGCACTTGAGTGAACAGAACTACGTCGCGCAAAGTAGGAGTAAGCGGTCGTACGGTTGCCTCGGCGTAGCATCACACAGGACGTTGGGATGCTGCTGGATGCTACTAGATGCTAACCGCAGCCTCGGTCTTTTTTTTATCCTGCATACGCATCTCACGTGTTATCGCGGAATGCGCTTTACCCCATATTATACATCGTTGATTATAAACGCGATTATTTCCCATAACGCGGCGTTCTTTAGGAACGCAACTGCCGCCGCCTTACAGGAGAACATTCTGCATGTTCCACTTGTTCGAAAAAAGGTTTCCTTCTTCACAAAAACAACACCGCAAAATCTACGCCTTTTGCGACGAAGGAGGATGCCTTTTTTTGTGTTTTGTTTTTGCGAGGCTCACCAAGTGACAGTATTCCAGCGAGGTGACGAGCTGAGCGTTCTGGCAGGAGAGAATGGAGCCTGCCAAATTGAGCATCACACACACCGCTGACAGCAGCGTGAAGAACGTAATCTGCAAAGGAAGGGGGCGGGATAATGAACGACGACAACATGGATGGGGAGGAAAGGGAGAGAGGGAGGGGGAATTAAATACCATTAAGTGCCACGATTTGTTTTCTGGATTTTTTTTTGTTTGCGATGTTTAAAAAATGTGCACCCAGGGATGTATTACTTCATAGACGCACCTCTTATTAGCACGGTTGAATACGTGCGGTGCGAGAGAAGTTCACCGTGGGTAGAGAAAACAAAAGAATAGCACACCTGACATCTGTACCTGTGCTTCGTTACGGTGGGCATGGCAGTTTTATACGACACACACTTACAGCGGCCATGTTTGTAACCATAACGCCGTTTGCAAAGAGTTAAACAAGTAAATTCCCCGTTGTAATAAACGATAACTTCAAATGTAAACACGAGCATGCAGGCAGAGTGTTAATGATATACACATTATAATTGATTGCAATTATTATTAATAGCCAATTCCTAATTGCAAGGCCAATTATGAACAAAATGCAAAAATAAATGCGTCATTAATCACATCGTCGAAGGTACGGCGGCCAAAAGTAAGTCTTGCAGTGCTCGCAATGTGCCTCGGACAGTTAAGTGCAAACGAGAATCTCAAAGTAAATTATGAAAGGCAACGCGATGCCTTTTAAACATTTACTCACACTCTAGACTTACTCTGTCAGAGAAACACGATTCGCACGTGTGCAGACATCGACAACTCCATTAAGCGCACACACGCAACGTATGCTTGCGTGGAAGAGATGGGTGAAGCGAGAAGTACGATTTAACAAGTCCTCAAGTGTCTGCAAAGCTCTTTGTCCGAGAATAAAGATTGTAGGTATATTTTGAGAGGGGTCGGGGGGGGGGGAAGCCGAGCGACTCTGCGGACACTTTGAAGTCCACGTCGACAACTCCGGCCATCCTCTCAGCAGCAGCGGCGGCGGTTGTTGGCGAACGATCGAACAGAGACGGCGGTCAACCGCGTCGCGCGCTTGCAGACGCGCTTCTGCGGCCGTCTGGAACGCTCTTCCTTCCGATGTTAGGGAGCCACCGGAGCTACGCACTTTTAAATCATCTAGATTGACAAACTCATTTCTTTAGAACTGCGTTTCGTGTTTAGTTTGTCGTCCTTCCCCCGCATCTCAGATTAGCATGGATTGCTTAAAATACAGCCAATGCAATATGATAACAATACATATGCATGTATGAATATAATAGCAATACATCCTCTGAAGCTGTGCTTTTAGTCGTGGGCAAAGCGATTCTAAACATACATAAACATACATATATAGTGATACACAATGAATTAAACTACCTTTAAAGTAAATGTAGCACAGTATCAAACAAAGGTACATGAAAGTTCACGGAGCACACTCTCTGAGCCTTGAGCATGTTGAGGATGCTACTTAATAGAGTAACTTACTGCTTTCAACGTTAACGTATGTATGCTGAACTTCTTCCGCACCGTACGTAGCCAACCGTGCTAATCGGGGGTGATAATTTTAGGGTGGCTGAAATAATCTTGCCGAAGCACTCAACAGCGGTGACCGGAATTCCTTTTGGATGAATTCACTGAGCCTCGTGTGCCCAGCAGCACTAATGAGATCACTGCTAGGCAATAGTTGCTGACTAGCACCAAGGTTGTTGGTTGGTGCCTTTACAAACCTGGCTGGCACCCTCCAAAAGCCAATTCATCAATAGGCACCTTACTCGAACAAGGAATGTGCACTCTTATTGAATTAAGAGTTTCTAACAGCAGCCTCTGGAATGCAGTACAGTAACTTAAGTGAATCAAGGCCACAAGCAATACGGAGTAAAACGACACGAAAACCTTAGTTTGATATCCGAACCCGCGTACTTTATCTACATACGTTGGAAATCAATAGCGTTGTGATTTGATTCATTTAGATATTTTTTTCACGCGAAATTACAACCATTTAATTTAGTACGGCGCAATTCATAGTCTACGTTTACACGTACATCGATGCTCACGCACGCTTCAGCAGAAATCCACCCATTTTTAACTATAATAAATGAATAGAGGTGAATAAATGAGCGTGTTACTACGACTACAGTGCTCGTGTTGCGGGCGTGCTCTTTAGCGCTCCCGATGTGGTTTTCGAGCCATTGCCGCGTGTCGCTCGGCACGACGTCCGACGTTTCGCCCCACGTTTTAGTGGGGGCTTCTTCAGCTCGTTCCACTCCACCGCGTGGGGTGAAGCACGTCAGCCATCGTGGCAGACGACACGTGGTAACAACCCCCAAAGACCCGTCAGGAGAGCTGTACCTCCTTGGACGTGTGCACTGCTTTCATTAAAGAGCTTACCACGAACATATGTAAATATATTGTTCAATGCTATTCCATACCTGTGGTGCCACGGCCTCGAAGCAACTCTGCAAGCGCCGCGACTCCCCCCTGGCCCCCCCACACTGAGCACACACACGTAGCGCACACACGTAGTGTCCTGGCGGGGGATTGCCTGGCACGACGGGTTTTAATCCGAAGGGTCCCGGGGACGAAAGTCCCACGGTTTCCCGGTGCCAGGAGATTGGCCGACCCTCGCAGGACAGGTCACATTGCGGTGCCCATTGAGTTGGCTTAATATTGTATGGGCGCAAAAAGGTTCATCGGGCCAGCCGCAATGAGTAATTCACGACATTGTGAGGGGCTGGGGTGGAATATTAGGCGAGAAGGGCAGATCATGAGGTCAGGCGATCGCAGCGCCACGACCTCCTCGCAAGGTGTGTATTCGCCAGTTGGGCGTCATTCCGGATGAACAAGGGTGAGTAATAAATTAACGAGTACGGACGGACAGGCAAGGGGCCGCAGAAGCACTAGCGGCAATGCTCCATGTAAGGACAAATAAAAACGGGCGGTAATCACAGGTAGGCACACGATTGGCCGCGCGGTACAATGCGACCCCAGGATTTGTAAGTCAGGAGGATAAAAGGGGAGCCTGGGGTTTGTCCAAATGAGATCTTTCTTAAACCTCCCGGCCATCCTGCCTTCTCGAGCCGCCCGCAGCATCCGTGTGACACCAGCGAGTGCCGCCACGAGGCAGTGATAGGCAAAGTTTTATTTTGTCCCCCTCCCTCCGACTGTCACAGCGTCCGTGCGACGCCGTGAGTACAGCTACGAGGTACGTGGTAGGGCGTTTCAGTATCTGGGGACTTGGGCGGCAGTAGGCTAGCCTCTTCTCGCGAAATATTCCCTCCGGGTAGTGCGGGGTTTGCGCCGAGAATAAAAGTTAGTACAGAGCATCGGTGTGGTGTCTGTGATGTCTGTGTGGAGCGACTGCACGGGGGAACGCGCGGTGAGAGTGAACGCAGAGGCGAAGGGTGTGCGCGCATTTAGATGTAATAGCCCGCAGGTGCGAGCGCGTTCGTACCCCCCCATGCGTTAGCGATAGCTGTGGTGTGCACGGGTGTGTGGTTTAACTCCCTGGCTACGAGCCAGCAGCACGAGTATGTCCCTCAGCGCGGGGGGCCCGATCACTCGGTCGGCGGGGGCCCGGCAAAAAGCCAACCTACGAGGTGGACGAGGGAGCAGAACGGGTGGACGTCGCGCCCCATCTGCCTAGCGAGAGCGGTGGGGTGGACGTCGTGCCCCACATACCTTCGATTAGCACGGCTGGCTATGTATGGTGCTAAAGAAGTTCAACATGCATACAACGTATGTCATCAGCATACAGTAAATATGCCTTCAACGTATGCTTTTGTAGCCAATGCAAGAATCCATGTTTATTTTTTGCGTTAGGCCCACCCGAATGAGCTCAAACTGCTTCGGGCTTTATTTGCTTTGGTTTGTGACGAGAGCCGGGCTCTCCGATTAGTTAACTAATCGACTACTATCGATTATTTGTTTGTTTACTCGACTAATAGTATGCCATGCATAGAGTTTGAAAAAAAAAGTCTCACGTATGTTCCCACATGCGCTGCTGGACAGGTGATGGGCATGGCTTGGTGACATCGTCGGCATCATAAGACGCTGGGCGTGGCTTGCAGGGGGAGAGGGTTTCCTGCCTTCGATGTTCAAGGCAGCTGCCATTTTTAAAGGTGCCCTTGTAATCGACCACGGAAAAAGTAGTCGATTACATTATAATTTTCGGTCAATTCATCGACTTATCGACTAATTGTCCCAGCTCTAGCGTGTACCGCAAACAACTCTCACAAGCCAGTGATAGGGGCCATCAAATCACACTACTTTGAAAACATTGTGAGTGCTGGCAGATGGGAGGTAATCTGCATCCGAAAAGCTTTTTTTTGGACATAGTTTGCAAGTGAAAACATCTAATTATGTAGCAGAAACACAATCATCATCTGTCACATGCCATTCAAATGCTAGATGAAGGCCTCTCTGTGCCAATCCTACAATGTAAGAGAAGCATTTTATGGATGTAATACTTCTTTGTGTTTTGAGGAAAATGTCCCACTGTTGTTTTGTCTGTTTTTTGTTTTGACAGTTTATGTTTCATTCAGTGATGGTTACCTCTTAGCATTTCATTTGAATGAATGAATACTGATCCACGTGGAAACAGGATGTGCTTTTACACTGACAGCTTAATAGACGATAGGGTTTATACTTTTGTTAATTATTACGACATAACCTTATTATAAATGAAGCCATAACATGCTCTGCAACGTTGATTGGATACTTCCAGTTCATTACGAACACTCCTTTGGTGTTTGCATTTCATTTCTATAACCGACATTTCTAATTATTATTCCACTGTATTGTGCATGCAAACGTGATATCTCTTTAAGCACCACAAACTGTAAATAGCAAATGCATTTAACAAATGTCATGTGGATTGTTCACAAGGCAGAGTCCCATCGGTAAATACAAGAACACATCAGCATTAATGGTCGCATAGGGAAGGCAAAGTGCTTACTGTACGCAGATAAGTAGCACGTGCATTTGCACAGAAACATACATTTGATTTCGCAACGTTCTGCTACTCTATTACCTTGGCTTTGTGAGCCACGATTGTGTATATGGCCAACATG